GCTTTGCACAACATATGTTTTTTATATGTTCTATCTAATACATTACAAAATGACAAAACTTACAAATATATTGCTATTCACTGTGCTGAGCTTGATGATTTGGGAAGTCAAGGTACCAGCAGTAGTCTCAAGCACCAGCCACTTGAACCATAGATAGAGTTTTAGCTCTCAGAAGAGGGTGCTAGAAAAATGATCTGCATTCCAAAAGTATGACTAAAGACTCCAGCCAAGAATACTGGCTGTAGTCTGCTCCGGAGCTTTGGAGCAGAGCCCGGAGCTGGTGCGCAGAGCAGCTCCGAAGCAGCGGAGCTGCAGATTTTTGCCTGGAGCTGGAGCGGAGCCGGAGCACAGCTCCAAAGCCCTGGTGCTCAGAATCAGCAGGATTAAAGCGGATTGGGGCTCACCTCACTGGGCACTAACACAATGATAAAATGGGATAAAATCCAACATGGGTTTACCAAAAGTATATCATGCCAGACTAACCTCATATCTTTCTTTCATAAGATAACTGATTTCTTAGATAAGGGAATGCAGCAGATCTAACCTATCTGGACTTCAATAAAGTATTTGACAGTGTGCTAATGAAATTTGCTGCTGACACAAACTTGAGAGGAATTGACAATATAGAGGAAGATTACAATATTATATAGGCAGAATTGTCTGACCTAGAGGACAGGATGGGATGAAATGTAATGCTTTGTAATGCACTTGGAGGTTAACAAGAATTCTGCCACAAGCTGGGGGCTCTTCACTTGGAACTAACGGAGGACGAGAGAGACCCAGGTATATTAGTCAATCACAGGATGACTATGAGCCATCCATGTAATGTAGCTGAAAAAAAAATGCAATCCTAGGTTGTATCAGGAAAGATATTTACAGTACAGATAGAGAAGTATTAATGCCATTCCACAAAGCATTGGCAATATTACATATACCCAAATGAAAGAAAGATGGATTCAAACCGGAACAGATGCAGAGAAAAGGTACTACAACGATGAAGGGAATAGAGGGCCTATAACAGGGGTCAGCATCCTTTCAGAAGTGGGATGCTGAGTCTTCATTTATTCAGTCTAATTTAAGGTTTGCGTGCCAGTAATATATTTTTACGTTTTTAGAAAGTCTCTTTCTATAAGTCTATAATATATAACTAAACTATTGTTGTATGTAAAGTAAATA